CACCTCTGCGCAGTTAGAGGCTATCTTCTTGGTTAGGACTAACAAATAATTCAGTTGCCGGTGATTTGTACAAGTAATTAGCCATCTCCAAATTTTCAGAGAACGTCAGTACCCTGTTCGAACTCCATCGCTGCCATTCTTTGCCTGCAAGGACGCGCAACGGCTTGCAGCAGCTGCTGTTGCGGCTGCGGCGGCACCCTCCACAGCGGCTGCAGCCGACGTCACACAGGCACGGCTTGCACTGGGAAACCTACAGAAGAATCTCCTCCTGCGCAGGCAGGGTTCCGGGTTCAGGTGCGGTACCGATTCAAATCGGTGTGCCGAGTTCATGACACCACCAGTAGCAGTAGCTATACTCATCAGGACGAGAAACATGAAGACTCAGGACGCTGAATGAACAACGGTGACAGGGTCTTGCTTTATGAGCCCATCATTGCTTGCGAAGATGGATTAAACATTCCACTCTGCCGCCAGGACGACGCGGTGGCTATCCCCTCTTTCGTCTCGCGTCTGGAGTAAGATGTCCTAAGAAATTAGAGATAATGTTGACATTGAAGTTGCAAGAGTTCGAGACGACATGGGTGCAAGATGTTGTGATCGAAGGCTTTTGTGCTATTCAGCGACGCAGTGTCCAAGCCTCACCCATCTAAGTCTTGTAGTCTAAGCCGGAAACTGTCGACTAGTGCGTGGACTATCGAAACTGGACAGCGTCTATGAGATCCACAGCTTTTCAATGATTGCAACATGATTTTCAGTTTTTCAGGTATATGTGACTTGGGATTGTTAGTCTTGATTATTGTCGGGAGATTTCATTTCTGATTATTAGGACCTGGGTATCAAACCTTGAGCTCTCAGCCTTCGTCCACACTACCGGAGCACTGCTTATTGGAGTCGGCACGAGGGAACACACATACAGAAGTACCAGCAGGAATCAAGGGTCCTAAACTGATCTGAATTGCACATGATTCAGCTGTTGCTTATATAGTTATTTTAACAGCCTTTCTCGAGATTCTGCAGAGCTGGGAGTACTCTTCCCGACCTGCCCCAACACCCTGAGCTAAAACTGCCCAAAGGTAAGAGAAACCTGTATCCGAACCTCTAAATGAAGGCTCAGGGGACTTAGCAACAGGGTTGTACGGGTTATACATACCCGAACTGGGATTTCAGGTGCATAATGAGGCTTCAAGTGCATAAGATGGACCTGTCCTGCCTTCACGTTATTATCCCACATTGCGACTATCGTATCAGAATTTCGAGCCCTAGAGCCTGCAGCCTCGTACGCTCTGACTGTAAGTTACGTTTTAGCCTGCCAGAGCGGTCTTGCAGAGTGTCCATGTCATAAAGACTTTTGAGAATTTTGGCGAGGGAACTATAAGCCAGAAAAGCACTGCACCTTGCCAGCTGACTGTCGCTTGCTTTTCCCAGGCCAGTTTCGCAGGGATGGGAGCCACGCCGACCGTGGCGGGAGCACCTGGTCGTCTTGATGACAGTTTCTTAACCCTAAACCCTAAACCCTAAATCCCTAAACCCCTAAACCGCTAAACCCTAAAGCCTGGGCGTAAGCCGGCCTTCACTTCACCCGAATCCCGGCCCCGGCTGCATGCCCTCCGCCCCAAGCAGCTTCGACATCTCTCGCGGCTAGGTCTCAGTGGAGTCTGCGCGGGAACGTGCAGCTACTGCCCAGGGCATCCAATCAGCCCGAGCCGTAGCAATTCCTTTGTTGAGCTGTTTGTTGGGTCGAAAAGGCTTCGGGCTTTGCGGCCTTGGGGTTGAACGTTTAGGGATTTACGGGGTCTAGTACTGTCTTGTGGGTCAAGCTGGGCAGTAAGGGCAGCAGACGAGTCCCTTGTGAAAAAGGGGTCTAGGTGGGGGGGTTTTGTTCTACAGGGCTGAGGAGCTTTGTGGCATCAGCGACCTCGATTTATGCGTTTCGGATACATGGGCTTAGATAAGAGACTGAGAAGTGACAGCATAGAGAATCAGAGATGCACATGATATTTCATATTCGCGTTCTCGACAAAAAGGAGTATACCTCTCATTACATAGTAACTGCATAGTCAAGTGGTAAAAAGCATAGGACAACTATTGGCACTTAAAAACTACATGCAACGTACAGAAGCAGGCGGTAAGGGATGTCCACTCCCACGAGACTCGTGCCACACATGCTGCCTGCATGACATGTATACCTTATAGTTTTCTGCTGAGATAAAGTCATTTCGGTATACGTGTAGGTTGCATCTGTGGTCATACCGGGACCCTCTCCTGGGCAGGCATCCACAGCCAAACAAGCACACATACATGTGCCTACACTGTTGGTCCGAAGTAACTCCCTAAACTGTCTGGTGCTTAGTAGGGAATGGGGGAATGGATTCCTATGATAGTCCCTTAAGGTCCCTTATAGTGGTCCCTATAACCCATTCCCCCATTCCCGACTAAGCACCAGACAGTCTTGCATAGGTGGTATCCTAACCCTGGGTTGATACCCTGTCAGATCCTAAACAAAAACTTAAATTCAGGACCCAGGACCAACACCCAGTGCAATCTATACAGTAAAGTTTGAATTCTTTTCCCAGGCCTCCCAACCTGCCACCGGTTCGGAGCCTCAGGTGGTGTGAGGGCTTAGTTAGGGCCGTTTTAGGGCTCAGTAGAGTTCAGGATTTCGGGGTTTGGGGTCCTTTTTCCGGGTAGGGACGAATTTCAGAGGGTTTAGGATTTTAGGGTTGCTACGTAGTTGGAACCGTCTAGTTCTGCTTAGGGTTAACGAGGGTGTTGTCGGGCTTACGGCTTACGAGTCTAAGGGGCTTCGAGAGTTGAATCCTTCTTGGAGGGGCTGAGGCAGTTTCGGATTCAGAGACGAGGCATAAGCCTCCCTAAATAAGCCTCCCTAAACCCTAAACCCTAAACCTCCAGGGTTTTTGTAGCCCAATGCTGTTAGGCTCCTCGAGTCTCTCGGTCTGCAACGCAACAAGGAATATGGGTTTAGGAGCATTTAGGGTTTGAGGGATTTTAGGGGCTCGGATTTAAGGGCTTAGTGGTTCAGGGCATGAGGCGTCGTAAAGTCTCTTGAAAAACCCCATCCCTTCCTCGTGGGTTAGCAGGATAGGAAGCAAAACATTCTTTCTCTCCAGCGATTCTAAGCCCGATAAACCCTAAACCTGGTACTATTCTACATTTTTTGTTATGAGAAAAATCCAATAAGGATTAAACATGATCATTTACAATATAGCCCCAACAGGCATCCAGAAACTGACAGACATCGAAGCTTCAAGGACAACAGCGTCCACCAACAGATGTGCTATCGCTTGTCACGCCGATCGACGATGGAGGTGTGGGTGCGCATGTGTGGACGGCTGGGCGCGGGCACGGGTGTCTCCTTCCCGGAAGTAAACACAGAAACTCTGAGAGTTACTTCTTAATTTCAACCCTACGCTCGAAAATCGAAATGATCTAATATATGCAAGCGCTACACTAAACTCTACAATGTCTCAAAACCAAGAACGATTTGGGTGTCCTTCCTTGAGAGAGCCGTAACACTAAGATTTACCTCGAGTCTTTGGGACCAGGGTTTCAGGGTTTTCCACAGCAGCAAATGCTTTACGCTCACCTTCGACTGAGCTGCACACTCAAACGTCTATGTTGTGACTTGCGAGCATAACTGCAACCTAAGCCACAAAGTAGGTTCAAGAAGAGGCAGTGTTGGACAGCCAGGCTCCTGTTCGTTGGGCGCCGAGGTCACGGAGGCTTGACCCGCAAAGTGTGCAAGTTGGTGGGTGCAATGCTTGGACACTAAAGTCACTATAGCTATCTTTAGTCCAAGGCATGCATCAAAGCATCTTGTAGCGAAGAAACGTTCGGCATCTGGCAGCTGTCACGTCGGTTTTAGTCGGGCGCCGTGCTCAGCTTGTGGAGTTGTGTACATGCTTCTGAAGTTTTACAGGCCATGCGGGTTAGGTCGCTTGGGCCGGTCTTCATGTGGAGTTAGACTTTAACAGGTACTGCCATCAGGCCAAACTACGCAAACAGAACAGGCTTGTGGGTCCTTGTAGGTATCTATACCTGTATATTGTATAGCAGCCTATTCGACAGGCGGCATGCCAGCCAGGGAAACGCGCGGCTGACCAATGACCCATGCTTTGGTTCAACTAGTCCAATGCTCAAGGAGCTTGCTTCAAACCAGCATTGAGCTCAGACACGTCTAAACCAAACCCTAAACCTAAACCCGAAAGTAACCAGTCTCACGCCGACCTGCACCTATGGAACCTCGACTGGCTTGTCCGAGTTGTGAGAGCATAAACCTATATAAACCCGAAAGGGAAACTATTTGCAAGAGCCAAAACAGGAAGATTATTCGATGTTCCATGCCGGTGAAGGGAAGGCACCCTCGGTGTTTTAACACGAGGCCCTTAACCCTTGGATCCTTGAACCGCAGGCCCAAGCACCTACATCTTAAAGGGTTATACAATGGAACCCGAGCATTGGGGCCTTTGATACCAGGTATAGGGTTTCGGGCAGAGTCAACGATGACTATACCGGAAAGAGGAGCTAGCCGTTCGAACAATAACAAAACCCCAGCGCGCGAAGACCCCAAGTTCGTGATCGGGGACCTTGAAGAAACACTATGTATGAATAAGTGGTAATACTGTTCCCCGGATTTCTTTGTTGTCAGTTGTAGTGGGCTAGTCCCCGAACCCTACTCTTCGTCTTCTTATCATCATTGTTTAACTGTTATTGTCAAAATGTGTAAACTGTTTAAACCAATGTTGTTACTACAATTATGAAATGATTATTCATCTTATTATTATTGTTATTGTTATTAGTAGTAGTCGTAGTAGTAGTAGTAGTAGTAGTAGTAGTAGTAGTACGCGCTTTGCGCGTATTTGACACCGTTGTTTTTGTGCATGCATGTGAGAAACACACGGCAGGGACGTCACTTCCGCATGCGCATGTCCCTGTGAGCCGAGCGCCCTGGAACGTGGCTTATTTCGGTTCAAGTGGAAGTCATGCCTCAAGCGAAGCATGCTTGCCGGCTGTGCGGTCAGACGGGACACCGTCAGGAGACGTGCCCGAGCACAGTTGGGCAGATCATCCGTGATCTGAAAGCTAAGCTTGGACAGCGTGCCGGCAAAGCAGGCAAGGAGCGACGGCTGCGGCGTGTGCGCAAGGACGGCAAGCTGAAAGCACAGGCTACGCAGTCCTACAGTGGCAGTGCACAGAAGGCCGTATGTTTGGGCAAGTGCACAGCTAGACATGTTTTGTTCCGGGTCGTTTACAAAACATGTTAAGCTTTCCTGTAATGTTTGCGAACCACTGCTGTGCAGCAGCCTTTGGCGAAGAAACGCGAGCGGCGGGCGGCGTTGCTGGCACCACGAAGCTTTTCCTATGTCTAGATTGTCAGAGGCCTCAACATGGATCCGTGCTAATGCACAAGAAATTCGTTTTGCCTTTGGACGTGGCAGACAATGACGAAGTTTTGAAAAGCTTGGACTGGCTGGGAACCAGCTAAGTCGCCCGGGAACGGAGACAGGTTGCTGCTGAAACACAAGGAGAGCAATGCTGATGTGTACAATGATGATATTGTGTATCACAAAGATGATGATGATCATGATGAAGATGAAGATTTTAAGTGTTACTGTTGTTATGATGATGAAGAGTATGATGATATTGTGTAGCATTGTGATGATGGTGATGATGATGATGATGGTGATGAGAATGATTTTCCAGTATGTTGTTATGATGATGATGGGTATGTGTGTATCACTGTGATGATGATGTTGATGGCGACGATGAATGTGATGGTATTGAATGTTACTGTTATGATGATGATGGTGATGAGTATGATGATATAGAGTGCCACTGTTATGATGATGATGTTGATGAGTATGATGATGTTGTTGAACATGCTCGCGACTAGCCCCCCCCCACCCGCCCCCCCCACCCCCCCACGCCAGGTCAATGATAATGATGATGTTGATGAGTATGATGATTACGACTGTATTTTAGGTCGTTAAGGCGCTCGGGTCTGCATGGTCCTTGTTTAAAGAGATAAAGACGTATAAACACGGAAATGCCGTAAATACCAGCATATCCAGGCCCTGAAACAAAGTCGTGGAAGTCCTAAAAGCAGGAAAAGCACGGCGTCAAATATATACTAATGCCGTAGTAGTAGTAGTAGTAGTAGTAGTCGTAGTCGTATCTTTTTGTATTTTTAGGGTCCCCATACTATTGGAGTCTCTGTGCTCGCAGGGAGCCCTGGACACGATCGCCCGGCAGCTGCTCACGGATGTCTCCGCGAAGGCTGCAGATGTGATGCTTGGCCTGGGGGTTCTGTTTCGGGTTTGGGGTTTAGAGTTTAGGGTTAGGGTTTAGAGTTTCAGGATTAGGGTTTAGGGTTGGATTGATCTTAGTAGGGCCTTCAAGGTTCAGGGTTTAGGTGAGGGCAGTTCCAGTCGAGAGAAACCTGCTGCAAAAGGTGAGGCCTCAGTCCGGGATGAAAAGGCTTTAGCTAAGGCTGCAGGGCCTTTTCAGCATGCGGAAGATCAGGAACCCAGGCATCTCCCAAGAGGGCTCCGAGATGCAAAGCCCTAAATCCCGAGACGCAAAGTGCCTTCCTTGCCTCGAACGCCTCAGTCAGACCGTCGTGAATGCCTCGACTCCGGTGTCCGAGTGTGATGCCGAAACCTTAACCTAAACTTCACCCAAAGCAACATGCGAGACTTTCATTTCTGCAGGCCGACCAAGCAGCCAGCCTCACTACTGGACCAGTCGGGACTGACGGCGCGGCCGAGGCAATTTACCAGAGGATTCCAATGGCCCAAGTCAGGATCGACAGTTTCAGAGCGAAAGGGGTCTCAGTGTTGAAGACGAAAGGGTGAGGGCTCTTACATAGGGCTGGAAAGTTTTTGGAGCTTCCGGCTTGAGCCTCAAGCGCTTGGGTTCATTCCCTGCTAGAACCCTGCATAAGCTAGAGGCCTAAATAATTGCCAATATTCTTTTGGGGGGTCCTTAGTATGTGTATACTGTGAAGGAACCCAAAACCCTATTGAAATGATTAAGGCCCCTATATTAGTGCACGAGAAGATTGGCCTTAACATGTCGCTCGAAGCACTGTTCCCTTGGTGCACTATATTGTATCATATCATATTATGCTGTTCATATGATATCACAATACATTAAATCTAGAGTCACGGCTGCCAGGGCCTTGTTCGGCAAGAGCTTGCCAATGCCTTCGAGGCTGCGGGTTGTCGCTGAGTATTTGGCCAGTTGCGGGTGCACGCAAGTTTCCAGTTTCAAATTTGCAGCCGTGCCGGTAAGCTTTTACCGGTCGGGGTTTATATACATAATTCAACCATCATGAAAAGCTTGTTGCCTTTTCGTACCGTGAGTGAGGTTCCAGCAGCTGGGCTTAGGGCACATAGGGGCTTTGCAGCCTTTCGTCAAGCACCCCCTGCGCAGTTGGGAACATGAATTTATATAAAACCAGACCCGGACGTATTTGCTAAGTGCTCTGATCCTTTCCGAGGGCGACTGCAATGAACAGCCCTGACATACGTGATTGTAGCCCTTCCGAACCGAGCCTTGCTCTCTCACCGGTCATCAGGAATGTCTGCTGAGTCCACCTAAACACATTTCTTTATTCCCAGATCCCTTTTAACGATGTTCAAAACTAGTCAGTTTTCCACAGTGTGTGTGATGGTGTAAGCCCCTGTACTGTTTCGCTTCTCATCTTTGGAAGTCTCTCTGTTGGGTGCTGGCGCAGGGATAGTTTCACAAGGCTTTTGTGGGGATGAAAAGGTTGTTTAAAAGTAAGGGTATCGCAGGGATTCTTGAACTGAGGGTTGCTGTGTGTGTGTGTGTGTTTGTGTGTTTGTGTGTGTGTGTGTGTTGTGTGTGTGTGGGCAACCCAAAATACCACGGGAATTTCAGCAGC